TTGGTTAGTTTTTTTTTTTTTCTTCACTCACGATCTAGTTTAAGGTGTAAGAGCTTTTAATTTGCACTTGGCTTCAAATTTCTTAATGTACATGAAATAAACTACTGAGTGACATTTTCTGATGGATCTGTTTCACTTCACATTCTGTAGTCCTGTTAAAGTACTGTATTAATCAATTATCTGTACTTGATAATTTATTCAGGTTTTGACATTATTTCAATTATTCCTAACTATGGTGGGTGTTTCTGTCAGATATTAAAAACACAAACAAGAAATGCTTCTATTGTGTATGTTTTGAGATCTCCATTAAAAACTTGTAAACTTTTGTATAATGCAATATAACAGATCAGCACCCATTTTTATAATGCTTTATAGTCTTTAAAGCTGTAATAGGTATGATTAAATAATGCATGTGTATAATAAGGCACTGATGTACCTTTACAATGCATTCTGTATGTACAGTGGTGTGAAAAAGTGTGGGCCCCCTTCCTGATTTCTTATTTTTTTGCGTGTTTGTCACACTTTAATGTTTCAGATCATCAAACAAATTTAAATATTAGTAAAAGATAACACAAGTGAACACAACATGCAGTTTTTAAATGAAGGTTTTTGTTATTAAAGGAAAACAAAATCCAAAACTACATGGCCCTGTGTGAAAAAGTGTTTGCCCCCTAAACCTAATAACTGGTTGGACCACCCTTAGCATCAACAACTGTAATCAAGCGTTTGCGATAACGTGCAATGAGTCTGTTACAGCGCTGTGGAGGAATTTTGGTCCACTCATCTATGCAGAATTGTTGTAATTCAGCCACATTGGAGGGTTTTCGAGCATGAACCACTTTTTTAAGGTCATACCACAGCATCTCAATAGGATTCAGGTCAGGACTTTGACTAGGCCACTCCAAAGTCTTCATTTTGTTTTTCTTCAGCCATGCAGAGGTGGACTTGCTGGTGTGTTTTGGATCATTGTCCTGCTGCAGAACCCAAGTTCGCTTCAGCTTGAGGTCACTCAGCTGCTTGAGGTCACGGGATGGCGGGAGATTATTCTTCAGGATTTTTTGGTAAACAGCAGAATTCATGGTTCCACTTACCACAGCACATCTTCCAGGTCCTGAAGCAGCAAAACAGCCCCAGACCATCACACTACCACCACCATACTTTACTGTTGGTATGATGTTCTAGTTTTTTCCCCCTTAATAATAAAAACCTTCATTTAAAAACTGCATGTTGTGTTTACTTGTGTTATCTTTGACTAATATTTAAATTAGTTTGATGATCTGAAACATTAAAGTGTGACAAACATGCAAAAAAAAAAAGAAATCAGGAAGGGGGCCAACACTTTTTCACACCACTGTATATACATGCTTCAAGTACAGTGTTACCACAACATTTTTGTGAAATTCAAATCAGTTGTTCCTTCAAAATGGGTTTTCATCTTAATTTACTTATAACAATCATTTAAAAAAATTAAGTTTCTTTATTGGCATATGGTTTGATGAAAAAAAAATTACATCCAAGGAAACTTTCAATGGTTCTTTATTGTCAAAAACGATCTTTAGATTATTAAAATGTTCTTCACACTAAGAAATAATCTGTTCTTTTAAGAACTTTTTCTCTGAAATGTTCTTTGAGGAATGCAAAACCACTGTGAACGCCTCTCTTTGGAACATTTGTTTTTAAGAGTGAAGTCGCATGTAATTAATAAATGCAAGTGTTTGAATGAACTGCAGTACTCTTGAAACCAGCACTTAAAGCTCTTTAATAATGTATTAATTAAATTAAAATGTTGCATTTATTGTTATTACATATTCGTCATAATTTTATACATGGGTGTGCTTTATAAAAAAATGTGTTTATAAAATATACATCTTTGGAAAATGTGTTTTAGAGGCTGTTGGTATCATGTTTTTACGAGCGATTACAATACCTGGCTTTAGGCACATGACCAAGGCATGAAATAAGAAATTTTGGTGGCTTGTTTTTGGATAATGGATAAGCTGACAATTTGATTTCATGGAAATATCGAGAGAGAGAGAGAGAGAGCAACCATATGTACTTTAAACTTACAAACATAAACACTGCCAGAAGAGACATTTGGGAGGATTGTAGGAAAGAAACAGTAGCTATTCGGCTTATTAGACGTCAGTGTAGCCTACATCAGACTGATTCTGGAACTGAAAAAAAAACACATCAAATTACTCACTAATGAAAAACCTACAGTGAACAGTTTAGCTCTAAACAAACTCCAGTAATCACACTATTCACATGAGAATCGTGAAAACACAAAAATAATTAAACAGTTGTATTCTTAATGAGAGGCAATTTATGCATTTTAAGACTCTGAAGGCCCCATAATGCTTTGCATTGTGTGTTAAAGCAGCACTTGGTTAAGCTCTTTCATGTTAAATTACATCAGACCTCAAGTATGTTTTAATTTCACAGTGTTCCTGCCTTGCAATGCCATCTCAATTTTCACTGAATCATTTTCATCATTTTTAAGTCATAGCATCACAGTCCAGTCCTTTGTGGCTTATGTAATTTTTCTGGCAAGAAGGAGCATTCAGAAGGCCTAGCTGGCTGTTGAAAGAGGCTTTGGAGGCACATTGTCTGGACCATAGTGTGCTGTTGGTGGTTTGACAATGTTTGGATCTCCATTGCTTGCTATGTTGATCTGATTGAACTTGCCCAGGTGTTTGATGATGTTGAAATTAGAGCGAGCCGTCTCCACAAAGCTGTTCTCCAGGAGCCACCTGTCAGACTCGCACTCAGGGTCCCCATGCCGCAGCATGTTTTCCAGAGACGTTTGGAGGTAACGGACCCCCGTTAAGACAGAGAGCTGTCAGAGAAGAAATTGATGCCTTAGTTTTCACCGATAGCAGCTGACACTCTAAAAAAAAAGTTAGTCCAACTGAAGTCACACTGAAGCTTCATGTCATTCTTTGTAAAGCAGTCATGTGCTTCACATAGGATGCTGAGGGATTGGAGTGACTGGTGCATAGAGCAGATTATAAAGTGAGTGTGCAATCCCATGATGGGATTATGCCATGCAACCAGAGCAGACAATGTGTTGCCCCTTGATTTTTATTAGTGTAGAGATTCTGGTACAACTGCTAAAACAATAACAATGTTTCAGACAAAATTTGGGCAGTATATTTTTTTTTCTGCCAGCAAAAGAACAAAAAATGGAAGTGTGTGTGTGTGTGTGTGTGTGTACTTAATTGTATCAGGAACACTCATTCGATTACTGTGTGTTCGCAAGAAGTATGTTAGTATGCTGAGTAGTTAAGGAACTAATTTACTATTATATGTAACATAATTTAAGACATACATTGGTCATATACCATTAACTGAATTTATAGGTTTCGTAAAATGGCAATGAATAGAGTACCCATTAAAAAGGGTATTACAATGCCAAAAAAATTGGAATTGCTAGGTAGATTCATTTGACGGCCGAATATGAGAGTATTGAATAGGATTGACTATATATTCAATATTTCCCTAGCTTATTGCCAAAGCAATAGACACAACCAACCTCAAAGAGCCAGATGATCAGAACTGTGAGGCCGATAGAATGCACGATGTTGGTGTAATAATCTAGCAGAGCCTGATGACATCCTCTTATCCACAGGTTGAGCTCCTCTGTCTGGTAGTCGTAATTATAGTGGGCGGAGTTTTTGGTGATTTGGTACTGAATGCACGGCTGAGGAGAATTGACGTTGCAGCAGCTGAAGAGAACTCCATCCATTAAGTATTTTCCTTCCACGTTGCTCCGTAGACGGCTAGTAAGAAAAAAAATGGAATTGTTAAATTGTGTAAATTCCATTGATAACAACGCGACTTTGTCTACATCAAAGTCTTTGTCTACATCTATTAAAGGGTTAGTTCACCCAAAAATGAAAAATCTGTCATTAATTACTCACCCTTGTGTTGTTCCAAACCCGTAAGACATTCGTTCATCTTCGGACAATCAATTTAAGATATTTTTGATTAAATATGAGGGCTCTCTGACCCTCCCATAGACAGCAAGGTAACTACCACATTCAAGGTCCAGAAAAGTACCAAGATGATCAACAAAGTAGTCCGTGTGACATCAGTGGTTCAACTGTAAAGTTACAAAGCTACGAGAATACTTTTTTGTGCAAAGAAAACAAAAATAACGACTTTATTCCACATTTTCATCTCTACTGCATCACTGGTGGACATGCGTTCACGACAGTATCATGATGTGAGCGTGTGGCGGCGCTGACCCAGATCCACCATAATAACTGGACTACTTTGTCGATCATCTTGGTACTTTTCTGGACCTTGAACGTGGTAGTTACCTTGCTGTCTATGGGAGGGTCAGAGAGCCCTCAGATTTCATCAAAAACATCTTAAAGGGTTAGTTCACCCAAAAATGGAAATTAGCCCATAAATTACTCACCCTCAAGTCATCCTAGGTGTATATGACTTTCTTCTTTCAGACGAATCCAGTCGGAGTTATATTAAAAATAGTCTTTGATCTTTCAAGCTGTTTAATGCCACTCAGTGGGTGTTGCATGCATCAGTCCAAAAGAAGTTAAATAAAAAGCGCCCATCCACGCAGCAAAGGAAAACCAGTCTCCTCTTGGCTTATATCGGAATCCTCCGACATTCTTCTTTACAAATCCTCGATTTTTACTTCCAATCAGTGACCATTGTTTTGTTTTGATCTTTTAACAAGCATTGAAACAGCTTGAAAGATCAAAGACAATTTTTTATATAACTCCGACTGGATTCGTCTGAAAGAAGAAAGTCATATACACCTAGGATGACATGAGGGCGAGTCATTTATGGGCTAATTTTCATTTTTGGGTGAACTAACCCTTTAAATTGTGTTCCGAAGATGAACGAAGGTCTTATGGGTTTCGAACAACACGAGGGTGAGTAATTAATGACAGAATTTTCATTTTTGGGTCAACTAAACCTTTAACTATTTAAATAATAATAACTGTTTAAACAACTTTTTTTTTCAGGCCCAACTTACTCTACCACTTCCCGTTGAGACATATACAAATATCGGTTGCTGACCCACTGGATCTGGAACCAGTCTCTGTAGCCCTCGTTCCCACAGCACTGGAACTGGATCTGCAACAGGTCCACAGTACCCTTCAGGAAGCAGCGGCCTGGTGTGTCCGTGTCCTTATAGTAACGCATAGCATCACGTAGCCCCAAAGTTATCGCTTCCTCCAGCTGTCCGTGCATGCTGTAGCACATCAAGGCACCCACGAGCACGCTCAGAGTGAAGAAAAATGTGCAAATGATGTATGGGAGCAATCACCAACTTCCAGCATAAGAACTTGTTGGTGTCCACGCAGTCATAGCAGATCTTTCCTCCCAAAAAGTTAATCACGCAGGCTATAAGTCCCATGGCAATTAGCATGTTTGGCACGGATTGGAGCTTTAGATCCTGCCGCTTGTTAATTTCAACTTTCAAAAAGATGCCCAAACTAAAGAGGATGATACCTGTTATAATGGATATCCATTTTAGTACCCACAAACCCTGGGCCAGTTTGTCTCTCTTGGTTTTGGTGAATTTTATTGGCAGCACAGCCATTTTACCAAAGTTTCAGAGAACCCTTGATATAATTGATCTTGTGGAAGTCTACTGGAGTTCCTAGTACAAAAATCAACTAAATTAGTAATTTTAGATGCAAGTCAATGAGGTGTATGGAAGATGACATGAATGGACTAATGCTTGATAGCTATTAGCCTCTTAAGCTAACTTAGTGAGTGTCAATCAATGGAAAGACCTTGAACCACAATTTCCACAAAGTATTCATGGGAGAGTATTGAATAGGATTGACTATATATTCAATATTTCCCTAGCTTATTGCCAAAGCAATAGACACAACCAACCTCAAAGAGCCAGATGATCAGAACTGTGAGGCCGAACATGATTGCATAATTTTATGAGTCTGATAAAAATAGAGGGATAGACTCTAAAAAAAAATTGGGATTAAATTAAAACAGTTAATTTATGTCTTACAGTAGATTTTTGGGTTAGCTTTTTACCTTTTTAATTTTTTAGCCATATTATGTTTCAAAAAAGCTAAGAATACTCCTCGAAATCTTAAAATAGCAGACGAAACCAAGTATGTTCACCTGAATGTACAGACATAGGGCTTGTCCTCCAGGCATGCTAAAGAGGATGATACCTGTCATAATGGATATCCATTTTAGTACCCACAAACCGTGGGCCAGTTTGTCTCTCTTGATTTTGGTGAATTTTATTGGCAGCACAGCCATTTTACCAAAGTTTCAGAGAACCCTTGATATAATTGATCTTGTGGAAGTCTACTGGAGTTCCTAGTACAAAAATCAACTAAATTAGTAATTTTAGAATCAAGTCAATGAGGTGTATGGAAGATGACATGAATGGACTAATGCTTGATAGCTATTAGCCTCTTAAGCTAACTTAGTGAGTGTCAATCAATGGAAAGACCTTGAACCACAATTTCCACAAAGTATTCATGGAGCTCATTCATTTAAAATGTGAGAAGAACTGGATATCAGTAAAAAAAAAATTGACCTTTAAAAAGGAGCTTTTGGTCAAATCTAAACCGTTTTATGTTTTTGTGGCTTCTCAGATCTGTCAAACTGTTTTGGGACGCCATGTGAGGTCGTTTGTAAACACAGTTGAAATGATTTACATTTTTGCAAATGTACATCTAAGAGGCAAAAAGAGAGATAACAATCCTTAGCAACAGCTGAGACAATGGGTGGCTATTGAGAAGAACATGATTGCATAATTTTATGAGTCTGATAAAAATAGAGGGATAGACTCTTGGGATTAAATTAAGACAGTTAATTTATGTCTTACAGTAGATTTTTGGGTTAGCTTTTTACCTTTTTAATTTTTTAGCCATATAATGTTTCAAAAAAGCTAAGAATACTCCTCGAAATCTTAATGGTTTGTTAGGATAGGACAATATCTGGCTGAGATAAAACTTTTTGAAAATGGGTGCAAAAAAATCTAAATATTGAGAAAATCGCCTTTAAAGTTGTCCAAATGAAGTTCTTAGCAATGCATATTACTAATCAAAATTAGGTTTTGATATATTTACAGTAGGAAATTTACAAAATATCTTCATGGAACATGATCTTTACTTAATATCCTAATGATTTTTGGCATAAAAGAAAAATCAATAAATATAACAAAGAGTGAAAAATGTAAGGGGGTCTGAATACTTTCCGTACCCACTGTATATTATAACATTATATAATGAGATGCATCATTTACAAATAATTTACATTCTCAGCTTTGGTTGCTCTCTTGTGGTTGGATGATAACTCTCTTTAACAAATCCTCTCCAGATAATGTACTTTGTCCTGGATGTGTCTAACTTCCTGCACTGTAAGGATGATCTCCTGCAGTCATTCTGCCATGTCTTCAGTATCCCATCTGCATTTTCCCAACAGATCTGTGGATTCTGGCTTCTAGATCACGGATTCGTAACAGTGAGATGTTTTCAAAACCATCACTCAAATTGTATGGTATCATATTACATTGGTCTAAACCCATTGAGCTCTGAACATTGTTATTCCCAGGACTCAATGAATGTCTTATTGAGCCCAAGAGCTTGTCCTCCAACACTGCCATGGCACCATTGTGCTGTTCTGAGGACCTTATTGAAGACAGGAGAGAATCGAGCAGCACTGAAGTATCTCTACAGCATCACACCAGTCACGGAGAGCATTCAAGACATCAAACTCTGTGTGGATGTGTTAATACACAACAAGTAAATCACAATGATTCTTAGGAACCTAAGTTCCTTTGGTGTTTTTGTAATTGTCGCACATTGGAGTCTACAGTTGTTATTATTATGGGTTATGCTTTTTGTTTTAGATGTATCTCTGAGGCCTGGGCACTGATTAGAGGACTCCAAACTAAAGATGTTCACCTGTTCAAACATTTCATTCATGTCTGTGAGAATCATGGGATTTGTAGTAATATGTTGGCCTCTCTGTGTAAGGTGATTCTAGATACTGTAATGATTTTCACCCTGCATGGGATAACTGGTAAACTCTGATTTTGGTAAATGATGGTATGAACAAATTTGTTCTTTGCCATCCATCTTTTTTTTGTGGCAGGGTTTGGCTCGTCTCCAGCTGATAGAAAGCCAAAATATGCAGTCCAATGAAGCACAGATACTGAAGCAAGAAACAGTAGGTCAACCACCAGTAAGAACTGAATCAGGTAAATTACAGCTGCTTTCATCTCAAATATACTGTGGCATGTTAGCTGAAATTATATAGTTCTCACATTCTATGTAAACTATGTGGTTTGACTGTGTGGGTTATGGACGTAAAGGACAAACTCCTCGTCCACTGTCTGCATTGCTGTACTGCATTGATGACCCACTGACTCCAGGAGATTTTGTCAAGATACTCAGGCAGTCTATTTCTGAAATATGTCCACTACCAAAGAAAAGAAGGTAAGAAACAGGCTCACCTTTTATGAACTTTTTTTTTTTTAACAAGTGTCTTATGCTCATTAAGGATGCATTTATTTGCTGTACAAAAATACAGTAAAAAAAAAACAGTAATGTTGTAAAATATTATTGCTTTTTAAATTAAGTTTTTTTTCCATTTTATATTTTAAGATATTTTCAAATGTAGTTTATTCCTGTGGTGAAAAAAAAATATATTATTATTATCATCATCAGTGTTTAATTATTATGCAGTGTTGCTGCTTAATATTTTTTATGGAAACTGATCAATTTTTTTCAGGACTGTTTGATTAATAGAAAGTAAAAAACTGAAATAGAATCCTCATGTGACTTTGTACTTTACTGTCACTGTAACAGTGTACTGTACTGTACTGTCATTGCTTAAAAAAAATTTTAACAGTTGTATACTGTTTGTAAAAGGTGATTTGATTTACTGTTATTTATTTTCTGCTTTTTAGGGTGCTGCTGCTGCTGCCAACGTACCTGGAGAATAGTGTGAATAGTGCACAACTCTCATCTCAGGCCTTATGTTATGTTGCTGCTAACAGCACATCAGTTGACATTCATTATAAGTTCAAGCAAAGAGCTGTTGAGGAAGAGTGTGAGGAAGACCTGCCTCTGCAGCCAGAGGTGCACTGACTCACAGATACAGCCATGTTAATTTACTGATTTAATGAATGCAACATCCATCCATCTATCCATCAAGCTAGTCATAATTTTTCTATCCTTCCATTCATACAGGAGGACATGAATGATTCACCAGTGTTCTCCTCTCCCACCACATCTCCTGACAGCATTGAGTCTGTTGGCTTCTTCAAATCTCCCTGCTCTTCACCACCGGCTGTCTGCTCTGAAGCCCCATCTGCACAGGAACCCATCCTCCTGAAGCAGAACTCTTCTGCTGTGCCTGAAGAAGAGGAAAGCCATGTCCCAGATGAGGACAAAACTCCTGCAGACATGTTCCCTGGCTGTCCCGATCTAACCCTCACTTTAGACGGCGCCACAGAGGTGCTATCCATCAACAGCCTGAGCAGGGAAAGTGTGGGTGAGATTGTTGACTGCTGAATCCAATTGTTCTTTAGAAGTGATTCTGTAATATGGAAGGCCGTTTCTGCCAAGGGATAAAATGTAAAAAGGTAACTGCCAGATGAGGACAAAACTCCTGCAGACATGTTCCCTGGCTGTCCCGATCTAACCCTCACTTTAGACGGCGCCACAGAGGCGCTATCCATCAACAGCCTGAGCAGGGAAAGTGTGGGTGAGATTGTTGACTGCTGAATCCAATTGTTCTTTAGAAGTGATTCTGTAATATGGAAGGCCGTTTCTGCCAAGGGATAAAATGTAAAAAGGTAACTGAGACACTTTATTTCATCATTCAGATTCAAAATCTGAATTATGAGATAGCCTAATAAACTCAGATATCTGACATTTTTTCTCACAATTCTCAGTTTTTTTTTCTCAGAAAAAAGTTTACATTACACAATTCTTATTTCTCAATTCTCAATTCTCTAAATTCCTAGTTTACATCTCGCAATTCTGACTTTTTTCTTACAATTTTGAGTGTACATCACGCAATTCAGACTTTGTTCCTCTAAATTCTTTTACATCATGCAATTCAGAAATTTTTTTCTCACAATTCTGAGTTTACATCAAGCAATTCTTATTTTTTTCACTAAATTATGAGTTTACATCTCTGTCTTTTTTCTTGCAATTTACATCTCACAATTCAGACTGTTCTCTTTCTGACTGTTTTTTTTTCTTTAAAAAATGATTTAAATCATGCCATTCTGATTTTTTTCCTCTAAATTCTGAGTATACAACATGCAATTCTGACTTTGTTCTTGCAATTCTCAGTTTAGATCATGCAGTTCTAACTTTTTTCTCTAAATTATGAGTTTGCATCTTTTAATTCAGAATTTTTTCTTGCAATTTACATCATGCAATTCTGACTTTTTTTCTTTAAATTATGAGTTTACATCTCGCAATTCTGTGTTTTTATTTCTGCCACATAATAAAAAAATTAAATTAATTGTGACTTTTGCAGTCTTTTCTCTCACAACTGTGCATTTATATCTCACAATTCCGATTTCTTGGAATTGCATTTATACAGTATCTTTCAGTTGCGACATCACTTTGCATCACTTGCAGTTAACATCTTGCAGTTCCAAGAATATATCTTGTGAGATAGAGAGAGAGACAGAACTGTGTGATATAAATTCAAGAATTGTGAGAAAAAAAGTCAGAATACTAAGTTTATATCTTAAAATTTTGACATTTTTCTCAGAATTGTGAGTACCTTTTTTATTTTTTATCTTGTGGTGGAAACAGTCTTCCATACTGTTATGATATGCTCCACATTAATAACACATCTTTTATAAAGTTATAGAGAAGATCTTCTCTAGTGTGATATCTGGAGTCATCTCACATGGGGGCGACGCAGTAGAAGCTCCACATGCAGAGAGGAGGTGAGCCACTATTCATCTGACATCAAACGCTCTGTTTTTATAGAACCTGAACAGATGGGTTTATAAACAAATATGAACATTAACTTTAATGAAATGCTAGTCACTGGCTATAAAAATGTGTCACATGAAAGTAAACACTAGGTCATTTTACATGATAGTTAAAATGGTCAGAATATCATGATAGACATTAATTTTTTCTGGGGGATTTCATGTTTCTATATTTGTGACCCTGGACCACAAAACCAGTCATGAGAACATTTTCGAAATTTAGATTTATACATCATCTGAAAGCTGAATAAATAATCTTTCTGTTGATGTATGGTTTGTTAGGATAGGACAATATTTGGCCGATATACAACTATTTGAAAATCTGGAATCTGAGGGTGCAAAAAAATCTGAATATTGAGAAAATCACGTTTAAAGTTGTCCAAATGAAGTTCTTAGCAATGCATATTACTAATCAGAAATTAAGTTTTGATATAATTTACTAAATATCTTCAAGGAACATGATCTTTACTTACTGTCTTAATGATTTTTGACATAAAAGAAAAATCTATAATTTTGACCCATACAATGTATTTTTGGCTATTGCTACAAATATACAAATATTAAGACTGGTTTTGTGCTCCAGGGTCACATTTGTCATTCAGATAATTTTGGAAAGATTTTGTCAGTTGTTTATGTTTTAAATTATAATTTTTTTTTATAGTATACTCAGGCTGAAGGGTTTACAAATGTTACTGTACAGTAAAATGATTCCACATTGATGTTGATGTGTTATTTTGCTGTTTTAGGCTCTTGAGCACACTTAACCTTCACCCTAACTGCTACAGTAATGAGGACAATCAGTCAGTGTGCTCAATTCCCGAGATCCCAGCGGAGAGTCATAACTTTTTATCACCCAGTCATGGTGAGTCAATAACATTTATGACTGGTAGCTTTCTAATCAGTTGAGTTTTTCCTCATAATTTAGAATCTAGTTAACTCGTCCCACATGACAGGTTAATCACAGAAGAGATGACATCTCAATTATTTCTCCTTTGACAGCAGTGAGATTAAATTGAGTGCAAATGGAGACTTTTTCTTAGGTCTCCAGAGATTGTTTCTCCTGTGAGAAAAGACCCCAGTAACCTCTTATGAATGGCCTATAGAGTTTCAGAGACGAACTCAACAATTTCACAAAACTCAAATATGCAATCGAAAGTCAGAGATTTTAATATGAATTTATATTTCCTCAAACACTTAACGTCTAAAAAAGAATCGCAAGATATGCGGTATAGTTTTATTTTTATTCTTTTTTTTTTCAGTGAAATATCTGAGACAAAGAAAAACTCTGCGATACTGTCTACTTGTCAAACAGACATGAGAAATATATTTATATATATAAACCTTGAAGTGCCTGCTTTTAAGTGTTTACGCTTTGCTTACAGTTTTTCTCGATTGCTAACACACAATTCTTGAAATAATTCACCATTTGCTCACAACTATAAACACAATCTCAAAACTGCACACCAACTTGTGCAAACTTCCAGGTCAAAATCAAATACTTTAGTCAAAAACATGTTCTCTTTTGTCAGACTCGAACTTTGGTCTCAGATGACACCCAAACCTGCCAAATACACAAACAATTTTCCTGCCTAGAGCACACTAGTGAGATCAGATCAAAACAATGTTACAAAAACCTCCTTTTGGGAAATAGAAATCCTTTTGCTAGTCAATGACTGTTACAGTATACGACATAAATAGAGGGATGCAGATACAGTAAAATTCAGCAATACTACTGTAAAGAGATCTTACAGTAAATGAAAAGCACTACAAGAGAAAAGTTCAAAGACCAAATAACTGAATATACAGTAAACACACATTGGAATATACTGTCAGTTACTTTACAGAAATAATGAATGAATAAATAAATAATTACTGTAAATAAATTCATTCATTCATTCATTTATTCATTCATTCAGCATCCTCTGCCAATTTGCATTACAGTATTGGTAGTATCCTTATTTGTTATAGTAGTTTCTAAGTCTTCTGACAACAGTCGTCTCTCAGTTCTGCACAAATACAGTACATACTTGGCTACAAATAAATCCAACAGTAATGAGTTTGAGGCTGTATAACATGTGCTAGAGTATTTACTGTACATAGAATAATGTCAGCTCTCTCATTTGAAGTACTGCTGCTATGTACTGTAATTATATTGTATGTGTATTGTGTAAGCAGTATTGAAACCTTGTAGATGAGCCTGTAGGCTAACTTCCCTCATGGTCAGTCCATGCAGAAGAACATGGTCAACTACAGTAGTTTGTATTTCAGCAGGAACAAATGACCTTTGACCTCATCCCCTTCATTTTTATTTCCCCCTCCTATTCCTCTTTGTTTCCCACTACCAGGATTCATTTTCCAAAACTCATAATCACTTGTGCTCCTGTGCATATCATCCAAAGATTCTGTCTGGTGTGTCATCAGTTTTGCTACTTAATGTTCACACATGGATAAATGTGCGCTGTTTGAGTTCATTTTTTGATGCTTGAGTTAATTATATTGTGTGTTTGTGTTTTCTGAATTAAACATGGTTAAACCTGTGAAAAATGATGGCGTTTTTGTGTAGATTTTTGCAGAAAACACTGAGCAAATTGGAACATGTGTGTAAACAGGTGAAATGCGTTAAATGTTTTGAGAAATGTGTCTTTGTTTCGAGAACTGTATGAATGGTTTGGAAAATTGAGCTAAATGAATCAGTTATAGTGTGTTAGCAATCGAGAAAAACTGTAGCTGTGTCTCATTTAGAAGGCTGTGTTTAAATGTGCGCTGTTTGAGTTCATTTTTTGATGCTTGAGTTAATTATATTGTGTGTTTGTGTTTTCTGAATGAGAACATGGTTAAACCTGTGATGCATATACGAAGTGTCCTCAACCTAGAATTAAACGAGACGGCCTTCGTAGGACAGGCGGAAAAGGAAACAGGAGTATCACGTTGCAATGCTAACACATTTAGAGCATCGTTGCGCTCTCACACTAATTAAATGAAGGAAAATTATTTCTAAATTTGGAAAGTAATTTGAAAAAAAAAAGCTTTTACTTGTTTTATTTTGTTCAATGTTTGAGGCCCTGTAGCGTACGTACAGCAGACATCTGTTAGAGAAAAAAAGGGAGGAGGATATTAAAAACAAAGTTTAGGCCATTTAAGGTAAGTTGTAAACACCACATCTGCGCTTGTGTGCACATCTGCTGGCGCCGGCATTTTTCAAATTAACAACAGTTGTTTACGGCGACGCAAAGAATTGTGGGTTATCTGTAGCAGCGAAGGATACACCTCATGCATCCTCCGAATTCCTGTGAAAGAAGGTCGCATTCGAAGTGTCCTACTTGCTTTTCTGAAATGAGACAGCCTTGATGACGTATGCAGCCTTGAAATGCGACCTCCGGAGGGCGCAGCCTTCTAAATGAGACACAGCTTGTATTTGACATTTAATGCATTATATAAGTCACTTTGGAATATAAATCATAGCACGTTTCAGAGGATAAAAAACGCAAGTTGCAGTCCGGAAAATATGGTATAGCAAATTATTTTGCGGACCCCCTGGCTTTGCGTCACGGACCCCAGTTTGAAAACCCCTGGTTTAGAAGTGCCTCATTGAGCATGTGGGATGACATTGATCACTATATATATATATTTTTCTCCCCACAGAGAAGCTTACTTACAATAAAACTGTGGATGATGCTGTTAGCATTAAGCCCAAGAATCTGTCTGAGACTGAAGAGTGGATCTTTTCACCCAGTGAGCCAAAAACAGTGTTTGTTCGCCTGCGGGATCCTAAAGCGTCAAGAACCTGCAGCTTTCTGGAGCTGAAGCCGTTAAGGGTGAGTGACATCTTAATGACCACACACCGTAAAAAAAATAAAATAATAATAATAAAAAAATTATACAAATATTACAGCATCAATAATGCAATTTTGATCAGGATTATAAAATATATTTATTTATTTATTATGTACACCAGTTTTTATTTATTTTATTCATTTACAGTATTATTTATTATATTAAAATATTCTAAAAGAATAACATTTCAATTCAGAAAAATATCTCTCATCTATCTGTCTGTCTGTTTACCTATCTATTTACACACTTAGTGTAAATAAATAATACTTGCTGTATCTAAACAGATGGATACACCAAAAATCGTTTTGCCTCTGTTAACAAAGTCTTTGACTGTTCTTTGTCTTTTGGTCTTGTGTCAAGCGGCCGTTGTCTCCCTCACGGGTGGAGGAATGCCAGGAAGACTTCTGCCGTGACCCTGAGGATGCCGTAGACCAGCCAGAAATCCTCACTTCCTGCGCCCTCACGGATACCATGCACAACCTCCCGGCTCATCTCCAACATGCTGACCTCTTAGCAGATGATCGAGAACCCTACCAGGCCTGTTCCTTAAGTGCCCTTAAAAGCTCCATCGTGGATATGGACCTCAGCCTCATCCATCTCTCCCAGCGATCCCGTCAGCTCCAGAATCCTATTGGCTCCCAATCCACCCAGCAGCTCAGTCTCTCTCAGCAGTCCAGACACCGGTCCTCCAGTGAGTCCAGAATCACCAGCACAAAAGAAGCAGTGTGTTTCCGGACCACCTCAGACTGGGTGGGTCACTGTAAGCTAGGCAGCTGGTGGAAACAGGCGCTGGAAACTCGACGGGCTTCAACCGGGCTGCTTCCTGCTTTAGAGCAAGTTTCTCCTGTCACACGAGGTATAATTGTACTGTGGCCTAAAAATTATAAACTTTAAAGAATGAAGTATCTACTTTTATTTACTTTAAAGAATGATAGCTCATCATTAGCTCACACACACACACACACACACACACACAAATTCAAGCAAAACATTTTACAAAAAGTTTGTTTGTTTGTTTTAGATAATTAAACATTGCATATGCTTTTTAAAAAAATTGATAAAAAGTATTTAGACACATTTAGTTGCCAAATTTTAGGGGAACATTCAAAGTTATTGTGATGAACAAGTGCCACAAAAAATAAAATGAAGGAAACAATTATCAATGTAATAAAATATTTTTTTATATATGTATATATAAATGAACAGTTAATAGATTTATGTAAAGCTATTCATATAATTAACATTTAAAAAAGTAGGTAAATGTAACAATCAATAAACAATGGTTGCCATTGGTTGTCCGACTTTCCAATTTTTTAATTCAACTGACAAAAGTATTAATAAAAGGAACTGACTGATGCTTAAAAAAAAGTCATATAAAAGTTGCATTTAAACTTAATATATAATAATTAATCATTATTAATGCAACATCTTTTTTTTCATTTAACTAACATTTTAAATAATAAATAAACACTTGAATATTTTTATTTGATTTTATCATTTGAATGTTTTTAAAAATTATTTATTCATTTAATTGAATACATGTATGAATGTAAATGTAATTTACATTTACTGTTTAGATGTATGAATGAATGTTTAAATGTATGAATTAATGTAATTTTTAAATTGATTCCTCCTTTTATTTGTAAGTGGTACTCCTTGTCCTTGATATTCTCTGATCCATGGGTATAAATCAAACCACTGATTTAATAACCAATCCTCTTAGCTTCCTCTACAGAAAAACGGACATCCCCTGTCCCACGACGTCCCCAACCTCATGGGCTTGGAAGCTTCTTAGATCCTCCATCCTGCCCAAGAGTGGAAAAACGAGAGGTCAAACAAGTATGATACGCTCACTTGCCTCTCATTTGTATAACAGGCATTTCATTGAATTTACAGAATACATCCCAGACTTCTGACCACACAGTGGCAGTACAACACCAGGAAAGGGAGCTGATTTTTGCATTGCAGGTGTGCATTGCATAATCATTTCAGCCCCATCAATTGATTTCTAAAAGCCGCCCCTTGTAATTTAGACTGCTAAAAATGCACACATGGAGGCTTTTCATATAAACTTAGTCTAAATGGTTTGCCTCTATACAGTGACAGTTGGTGAGAGTTTTACCAATCAGTTTCACAATCTCATTTTATGAAACTTAATGGGCGATGATGCATAATTAATATTCCATGCTCTATGGTTATGATGCAACTTCCAACATGCTCTCAGGTTCTGTCAAAGTCGATATATTATTCTATATAATCTGTCCACAAAGCAGCTTTTTTGATACAGTATATCACTTATCAGTATTTCAGTGACCATACAATGATTCCATCATTAATCGTGGCCAAGCCAGCACTTGTAACGGATTTATTCATGGACAGTGATAATTACTATTCTAGGAACATGTACATGTACAATATGAACCTTTTTCTTCCAACTGGACCATTTCCTGTTGTGATAAATGAGAATGCTGAAAAACTTCCTTCATAGATATTGATTCTCTCATTCTATCCACATACACTCAGAGGAAATTAAGAGAAACAGGATAACAGCCATATTTTATTTTATGCTATTTTATGCCTTTTTTGTGTTCAGGCAGTGAAAGATGAATTAACAGGCCGGAGAGGATCTCTTAAAGTGACCATTAATCAGATTGATCATGGACCAACTTCACATCAAGGCCATCGAGGAAAAATGAGGAAACAAATCAAACGAGCTTAAAAGAAAAAAAACAAAATGCTGTTTGCATATGTAGGGGACAGAGTGAGTGTTGTAACATGGTGAGTTGTAATAATCAGTTTAACATATTACACATTAATTAAAGGGGTGAAATCATTGTCATACGTAAATATTTAGTTGATCAAAATATCACAATAAAGTCATGTACAAAACTTAAACTGATGGGAAAAAAATGTATGCTTGCATAATAGACAACCACATCTTATTATATATCTATATATATATAATATTACAATTATAAATGTTAAAATTACAAATATTTTGAGCATATTTTTAATGATGCATCTGCTATTCAGTGCTTTTTTTATGCACAAGGTATTTGAAAACTAAAGAATGTCATGTTTTTGCTATTATTATTTATAAAACACTATATAATATGATTTCTTCTTGTCCTGTCCAATGATCTAACACAATATCGGCTATGTTATAATACACCTGCTGTATATTTAATGACAGCGCCTGCTTTACAGAAGGCGTCATCGTAACCAACCGTTTAAAATTTGCACTCATTGCTTCAAAGGACTTTCTGGCACTGGTTGTTACTCAAAGGTAAATGGACCCACATACTGTAATTTCCTCTGCTTGTTGCCGTTCCGCAAGAATGGTTTCTTGGCTGCTCTGCGCCTTACAAAACCAATTCGTAGAAAATAGCTGAAGCGTGTAGAGTATGTGGTGCGAGACGAGTGACTTCCAAATGCTGAGAAAGCAGCTCAATGGATTTCTTTCTGCACTTCAGAAAGCTTTATGTACAGTATGTACTGTTATGCAGTAAATTTTCATGCCTTGGATAAAATATTAAAGGGGTCATACACATGCACTTTTACAAGTTGTTTGAACTGAAATGTTTGTTGGCAGTGTGTGTACACAACCACCCTAAAATGATAAAAATCCACCCAGTGGTTTTTTGTTAATCTACTAAAAGCTTTACCCCTTTCTCAAATCGAGCCGATCTCAGATGCCTGTCTGTGTGACGTCACACAGACAGGCCCCTCCCATGATAGTTTGATTGACAGTAGCGTTTCAGCACATACTGGACTGGCGTCTTACCTCAGACCCGCCCTGAGTGAGCTGTAATCAGTCTGCCATTGTTTCACCGCTGGAGCTGGAGTAGACAAGAATGACTCCTAAGCGATTGAGGTCTTCTGTTATTGGATGTAATAATGAACATAGCAGTCGTCGTTTACTCCTGACATCTGAGCCACTAAAGACGCAGTGGATTATGTTTGTTTTTGAAGGGAATGCGCCCCCGATCTACAAAAATGTCTATATGTTCGCGCGAATCATTCGTGATCCAGCTTCACCTATAGAAGAAGTGAGTGCGAAGAGGTTTTTTTTACGAATTTTTGCAAATCGCCTTTCCTAATAATGTGCTAATTAGCAAGTTTCACGATGAATGCAGCTAAAGTAAACAGTCTCTCTGAGAGCGGCTCGGAAGCGAGGGTGGGGTCAGCAGAGCTCATTAACATTTAAAGGAAAATGCTACAAATCTGAATGCTCTGAAAACAGCTGTTTTTGACAGGGTAAAAAAGGTGTTTTTTACACTACCATTGAGACGTTTTAACCAAACTATGTTACAGACTTTTCATTAAGACCCTAAAAAATCATATCAACTTGTGGAAAATGGGCATCCCATGACAACATTTTATGACAACATAACAATTAAATTACATTAAAAACATTAATTTAATAAATGTTCAACTTTGAGTCATAGTTATTGCCATTTTGCCTACTTCCATTTAATAAAAAAAGACTGCAAATGTATTTAGAAATAAAACATGTTTTTTTCTAAATTAAAATATTTCAGACCAAAATATTTTCTTTTGAAAACTGTTTTAATTTCATAATCAAAAGGGTTTTCTTATGTCACCAATATAATTTATCATTATATATATATATATATATATTCATCCCATAATTCTATCCTGTTATCCATTCTGTCCCTGTAACTAACAAAAGCCAGTCCTATCATCATCTTTTGTTTAGAGAGAAAACAACAAACATGAGTAAGAATTAGCAGTGGATTTGCTGAATTCTGTAAAGTGTTGTGGATTTAGCTGATTTAACTTTAAGCCGAACACCCTCATGTAAACATGCTATGCTGTTCCCTTTCAGTCAGTCACGTTCTACGTTACGTCAGTCGTGACTGACGAATTGGGATCTCGCCCGAGAGCCCAATCACCTTCGAGTGTAAACTAAACAAGCCAATGACAGTTGGCGTGCGTGTTTTGCCACGCGCACCCCGCCCCGCAGCGCGGGTATAAAAGGAGAGCGCGTTCAAACGCACATCAGCTTTTCGCTTCGGAGTCGAGCCTTCTCAGGACGAATCTCCGCAAGTGTTTGGAAGAAACAGCTGGTGTTGGTGTTACGGCGCATCAGCGTTGGTGTTACGGCGCTTCAGCGGGGGTTGCCATTCAGTGCTGCTCATCTTCGGCGTGCTGCAGCTGCCATTCTGCGGTCTCGCCGCAACCTCCCCTGGGCGCTTCAGCGCTCTCTCTAAAAGAGTGTATCCTTTTTTTCCCCTAAAAGAGCAAATATCTAAAAGAGTTCCACGAGCGACGGGCGTCTTTTTAAAGATGCCTTCCCGCTCGTGTGTTTCTGGATGTGGTCGTTTCCTGCCTCCATCTGATGGTCATGATCGCTGCCTCTCGTGC